CATGTAAGTTCTGAGAGGTAAAACATGAATGAGTTGCAGCAGTAGGAACGATAGGCAGAAGACAAGGGTTGATATAGGTTTTGTGGATATAAAGGCACACAAGGGCAGTGAACAGGTGGTAGGCATTGCAGATGAAGCAAATTTCACAAAGGGCCATAGGGGCATGTGAGAGATGCTGAGAAACTTATTCTAAATGGAATGGAGGATATTTGACAAGAATTAGTGGTGACATGGAGAGAGCAACTTGAGTGGGATAAGGTTACAGAGAACACAATTTTTTGTGTGTATTGTACTAGGATTGAACCCGGTGGCATGGGTACCTTATCACTGACCTACATCCCCAGCCCCTTTCATTTTTTAAACCATGAGACAGGGTGTCATTAAGTTGCCAAGGTTGGCCTTGGACTTGCAATTCTCCTGCCTCAGCCTCCTACATTTCTAGAAAAAAATAGACATGCACTCAGTATCCAGGCAGAGAACATCATCTTCTAAGCACAGCATTTAGGTCTGAATAGAGCTCATAGTGTACACTCTTGCACCCAGCCTGGATCCTCAGGAACCTTTCTGTGGATGTGGTATACTCATGCCCCCGGTGATCCTTGCTTTGTTGCTAAAGGTCCACACCAGAAACTTTTTGTAGAAGCAACAGAAACCCCCTCCTACTGCAGTGTAGGCTGGCTTGCGGGTACTTGCTCTCGCTCTCGCTCTTGCAGGACAGCTGGTAGCCAAGAACTAACAAATGCAAGGGAGGGGTAAATAACCCAGTTCCTTTGCTTCAAGGCAAGAAAAACTCTATGGTACAGTTTTGTTCCCAAGTTTCCTGATGGATAAAATGAGGAAATTTGATTTCTCAAATGAGAAATCACATCTTTGTTCATCTCAGTTTCTCCTGCTCCTCAATCCTTCTTTACTCGTTCACTATGAACAACAAGCAACATCTGAAAGGAGATGCTTAATGTATCACTTGCAGAGCAACCCCCATCTCAGGTTCTGCCTCTAGGGAAACCAAAGTCAGACAAGTCTGTCATGGAGATACTACATATTCATGAGGAAAACTATATTTATAGAGAAAAGTACTGTTGTAGGGGAATTCAGAACAGTCTGATTGGCGAGAGGTGGGATAAAAGAGTAACTGGAGGCCAGATAAGATGCTGCTCAAATTCAGAAATACTGGCTATAACAAACAGAAAGAACTTAAGAAAAATATGGCCTTGCTATAGAAAAGAATCAAATATAACTCTTTAAAGTTGTATTTCTTCCTTACAAAGCAAAACTTTCTTCAGTTAACATTGTCAGTGATATACCATGAATTTTGCTAAATACAGACAACATTGAAAAAGGCTGATATTATTTTACATGAAATGTTCAAAAACATGAAGAGAATTACAATGAGAAGAGGACTCTAAAATTCTCCCTATTTTAGGTCTCTGACTATCTATACTTAGGAAAATGAAGATAAGATTATGTAGAATTACCAAATGTTGGTAACAAGTTGGTTTTGTAAGTTAATTTGTTATATTTTATACTTCAGCAGCTTAAAAGAATCTTTATTAGAGTCAGTAGCAGACTGCTTAAGTTGGAAATGCATAAAAACAGAGTAACATCTGGTTTTCATCTATTCTTATGAGGCCCAAAGTGTTTTCAATAGAAAATAAGATACTAGGTCCTGGTTATAAAATAAGAAGCACAATGTGAAAACAAGCAGGCTAGTATGAAAAAAAAAAAAAAAAAATGACACATAGCCCAGAAAAAAAGAGCTTAAACAATTATATACACATGTGATTTTAGAATGTGAGAAACAGACCATAATCATTTGTATTTGTTTTATTTTTGAGATATCTCAGATAAGTTAAGTTTCTTACATTCTTGGTTCCCTTTCAAGATTCATACATGGTACAAATGCCTATAAATAAAAAATGAACACTTCATTTAATTAGTAACAACTTTTATATTACATGTCTCAATATATAAAACAGAAGGATAATATTGAAACAATTGTTTTTGCAATAGAGTACTTTTCTCATTGACTATTTTTTATTATTAAAATGCTAGCTGATATTCATCAAAATGTAAAATACATATAAACATCAATTCAGCAATCCTATTGGAAGGAATTTCTTCCATAAAAACAAAAACACACACAAAAAAAGGACCCCAAAGATAGAACTAGTTAGAAAGTCATAATACATTGAAGTAGATCTAAGTCAAAATCAAAATGTAAAAAAAAAAATTTTTATTCAACTAACTTAGTACTCATCCAGACAAGCAAATATATTTTACTCCATATAAATCCTTTAAATAGTAATCCTAGGACACCTAGGATAGCAGTGGCAAAGAACAGAGAAGCATTTCCAAAGTGCATTCCACAAAACTCCAGTCCCACAAGAGGCTCCAAGAAAAAAGATTCCATAACCAAAGATAATGGTTTATTGTGAACCTTTTTAAAGGTTCACAATAAACATGGTAATTTATGGAAGACTGTGAGATGTTTGGGGAGGGTCTTGACGGTGTTTTCCAGTTTTGACAGAATACAGTGCACTTTCCATTATCATCAAACACAAGACTTGTTTAAAACCCTCCCTAACTATGACCAAGCTTCCTTTCTTATACACCTAAGATTCTGAGCTATCACTCAATCACCCTCTCTCCCTCCATTCCCTTACTCGCTTCCTTTAAACTAAGCCCAGGACACTTCAATAATTCTAACTTTATAATTCATTAGCATCAAGTAGAATGTAAATGTAATTCTTGGTGCTTACCTTCAGAAATTCTGATTCAACACAGGAATCAGTATTTTTAACATACACTACAGGTGATTTCAATGCAGGCCTAATGTTGGGATGTTCTAATACCTAATATAAAGATGACTATTTTATAAGTGAGTTCAAAATAATGTAAAAAATAATAAATTTTTAAAATCCAGCCTTCAAACAAGTATATAAAAATTATTTGTGGCCAGGTAAGGTGTTACACACCTGAAATCCAGCAACTCAGAAGGCTGAGGCAGGAGGATCACAAGTTTGAGGTCACACTCAGCAACTTAGCAAGGCCCTCAGGAACTTAGTGAGACCTATCTCAAAATAAAAAATTAAAAGCAGGGGAGAAATGCTGGGGAGTGATATTGGCCAAATTATATTGTGTATTGTGTATGTGTACAAAAATGTAGCAATACCCTGATATCAGCATGTACAATTATAATGCACCAATAAAAAATGTGGGGAAAAATTAAATTAAATTTCAAAAAATAAATTAAAAAATTGAAAGGGGTGGGATGTATTTCAGTGATACAGCATCTCTGGGTTCAATTCTTAGTACAAAAAAAATGTATTCAGGAAGAAAAACATGGGAAAATGATAAACTAAGAAAAGTTGCACACTTCTCAGAGGGGGACATACAATCAATCAACAAGTACATGAAAAAATGCTCACCATCTCTAGCAGTCAGAGAAATGCAAATCAAAACCACCCTAAGATACCATCTCACTCCAGTAAGATTGGCAGCCATTATGAAGTCAAACAACAAGTGCTGGCGAGGATGTGGGGAAAAGGGTACACTTGTACATTGCTGGTGGGACTGCAAATTGGTGCAGCCAATTTGGAAAGCAGTATGGAGATTTCTTGGAAAGCTGGGAATGGAACCACCATTTGACCCAGCTATTCCCCTTCTAGGTCTATTCCCTAAAGACCTAAAAAGAGCATGCTACAGGGACACTGCTACATCGATGTTCATAGCAGCACAATTCACAATAGCAAGACTGTGGAACCAACCTAGATGCCCTTCAATAGATGAATGGATAAAAAAAATGTGGCATTTATACACAATGGAGTATTACTCTGCATTAAAAAATGACAAAATTATAGAATTTGCAGGGAAATGGATGGCATTAGAGCAGATTATGCTAAGTGAAGCTAGCCAATCCCTAAAAAACAAATGCCAAATGTCTTCTTTGATATAAGGAGAGTAACTAAGAACAGAGTAGGGACGAAGAGCATGAGAAGAAGATTAACATTAAACTGGGATGAGAGGTGGGAGGGAAAGGGAGAGAGAAGGGAAATTGCATGGAAATGGAAGGAGACCCTCAGGGTTATACAAAATTTCATACAAGAGGAAGTGAGGGGAAAGGGGAAAATAATATAAGGGGGAGAAATGAATGACAGTAGAGGGGGTAGAGAGAGAAGAGGGGAGGGGAGGGGAGGGGAGGGGAGGGGGGATAGTAGAGGATAGGAAAGGCAGCAGAATACAACAGACACTAGTATGGCAATATGTAAATCAATGGATGTGTAACTGATGTGATTCTGCAATTTGTATACGGGGTAAAAATGGGAGTTCATAACCCATTTGAATCAAAGTGTGAAATATGATATATCAAGAACTATGTAATGTTTTGAACAACCAACAATAAAAAATAAAAAAAAAAAAAGAAAAGTTGCACTGTAAGAGAATACCCCATAAGGGGCTAGGGTGGTGGCTCAGTGGTAGAGCGCCTGCCTAGCATGTGCGAGGCCCTGAGTTCCATTCTCAGCACCACATATAAATAAATAAAATAAAATAAAAGTCCACTGACAACTAAAAAATTTTTAAATTTTAAAATATTTTAAATTAAATAGGAATACACTCTAATATACTGTTCAGAATATTAAGGTAAAGAATTTTTTCCCCTACATTAAGAATTCTTGGCCCTTATAAGAAATTTCAGGAATACTTAAATTCTCTGAAACTATAAACTGTACACACAATTTTTATGAATGTGCAAATACATGCCTTTGTGTGGAGAAATAATCCAGAGCTTTCAGCAATTCTCATACTGCTCAATTATCCAACTGAATAGTTACTACATTTTTTATTTATCTACCTGAAACAATGATAATAGAAACTGCTTCTTAGTTAATGGCATGAATCATACATACACACACACAGAGAGAAAGAGAGAGAGAGAAACACACACACACAAATTCTTGAGTATCATTTTCTCTCTCAGAGCCAAACTTAAAACAATTTACCTTTGCAGAGTCATATTCAAAGAGCCGGTACAACCTTTAATCTTGTTCTGGGCCTCGAGATGAGTCATTCCATGGGCGCTTATTCCATCAATGCTGAGGACCACATCGCCTATTCTTACATTGGCCTGGAAGGCCTTGCCGCCATCTTTTAGCTGTAATAAACAGATTTCATTAGGAGCATCAATCTTAAAAAAACAAATAACAGTAAAGGCAGATTAAAAATTATATTTTTCTTATATCAAACATATGTTAATATACTTTTAAAATAACACAAAAAATTATACTGCTTATCAGGTAAAAGCCCAATGATTTTTACATATTTCTTAAATTCTTACTCTGTAAAAAAGTGAAATAATTTTCTGAGAAAGGTTCCTGATAATTTCTCTATTTCTTTATTATGCAACAGTAATAGGCGATTTTTATGAATGAGGAAGAGAAGTAGTCAAGGAAACTTCACATTTTAGCAGAAGAGTAATCTAAATGGACTTTTTATACTCTTTTAGAACTAATTTCTAAAAACTCTTTAAACAGCTGTATTTTTGTTTGAGCACAGAGAGTAACACAGAGGGAGGATCTATTGAACAGTCCTTCCTGTTGAGTCCAGTTCATATCCAGTGTTTGGGGACTGAATTCTTTTAGATCACAGGCCCAAATATCTTTTATACTGGGTGTGCTTCCTGCTCCAGGCTTTCAGCAGAAGTGGGAGGAAACTCATATCTGAGACTTTCAGACTTCTTTGTGTTTCACAGTTCTAAATCCCCCATCTTTTTTCTATGTATTTACATCATTTAGCTTGAGCTCCTTTCAAACTTCATGTGTATATATTTCATTGCTCCAAATCAGCAAGTATAAATAAAAGGGAAAATGATGTGGTTTTCATAGATACCTAGAAATATGAAAAAATACAGATCAAAAGAAACTATTCTAATTCAAATGACAAACTCTGTATTCAATAAGTATAAACAGATTACACTGAATCTAGAAGATACATGAGATGAGGCCCAGGAAAGGAAGTAACCAGTATTCCTCTAGTACTTGAAACTAAAGTTTCTGTTTGGGATGATGAAAGTGTTCTAGAAATAAATAGTGATGATGACTGCACAACACTATGATAAATTCAATTAATGCAACTAAACTGTACACTTAAAAATGATTAAAGGAGTTAACATTTATGATATATTATATATGTGTGTGTATAAGTTCTAAAAAGAACCTCTAATAATTTTAAGAAACACAGCAAAATTCTTTTAATTTTTTTTTAGTTGTAGATGAACATAATACCTTTGTTTTATTTATTCTTACGTGGTGCTGAGGATTGAACCCAGTGCCTCACACATGCTAGGCAAGCACTCTACCACTCAGCCACAACCCCAGCCCCAGCCCCGGCAAAATTATTTTCTAATTAAAATAGTAAAATTACTTTCTAATAAAAACAACACAAAACAAACCAACCCTCAGTTCACTGAACAAGAACTAGGTGCTGAAAATTAATTTAATAATTTCATAATCTGGAGGCAAAGCAATAAATAAAACACACATAATGCTCAGGTAGGTTTTGCTACCCTTAGCTGTCTAATTCTTCTCTTAAAAACAATGATCAAGCTGGGTGCATTGGTGCATGTCTGTAATCCCAGCAATTCCAAAGGCTGAGGCAGGAGCACTGCAAGTTTAAGACCAGCCTCAGCAACTCAGCAAGACCCTTGGTAACTTAGACCCTGTCTCAAAATAAAAAATAAAAAGTACTAAGGATGTAGCTCAGTGATAAAACATCCCTGGGTTCAACCTGCCCTCTTACCATAAATAAATAGATCATCATCATCATTAAGGCAGAGCAATCCAAGTACACAAGAACAAGCATTTAGATCTAAAAATCAAGAAAATAGTATTGATTGCTAGACCCATGGAGACAAGTACCAGGACTGTGTTTCTTCTGCACATTACAGACCTTCACAAAATACATGAATTTTACTAGATGACTCATATGATTTTACTATATTAAATAATAAGTGGAGTGTTATAATTAGTATTTTATTATTTTAAATATTCAAATATTTGACTTGATACAAAAGACTACCTTTCTCTACTACAAAGAATTAAATTGTTTAAATTGTGAATATATTTTTAAGGAAAACAAGTCCTAAAAAGTCAGCTATGGCTATCATTTTCCACGTGACTGCAGGAAAGCCATTTCACATACATTATAGACTGTTATAATGATTTCATGAGATAATAGCTCAATAAATGTTGACTATTATCATTACCTCAACATCAGATTACTATTCTGAGAAATATGGGAGCTGTCCTAGATGATCTCAAAGGCCTTTGAAGGTTCCTGCCTTCTTTAGAAGTCTCTGTGTGAGCTAATTCTAAAATTAAGAGTCAAGTCTGAAAGAGTTCGTTGGTGAGACAAAGCAACATCTATTCCATACTAAAATGATGAAATAAATTAAAATCTGGAGTCCTGATAAGAGGAAAAGTAAAACATCATAATTCATCTTAGATTTTATAATTTATCTTAGATTTATGATTCAGAAGGGCAAGTGCACACATATGACCCCCCCACCACACACACACACACCAGAAACAACTACAACCTCCCTATCATCTCACCTCATCACATGAAAAAGTCTTAAAATAGAAACACTAAAGCCTATAGGCATTTGCTCTAAATGTACCAAACAGAAACATTTTAAATATTCCCAGTCTGGGGGTAACAAAAAGGTAACAAACAATGTAGGAAGAAAATAACTGTAATCCCAGTAGCTAGGGATACTGAGGCAGGAGGATGTTGAGTTCAAAGCCAGCCTCAGCAATGGTGAGGCAATAAGCAACTCAGTGAGACCCTGTCTCTAAATAAAACACAAAAAAAGGGCTAGGCGTGTGGCTCAGCGGTTAAGTGCCCCTAAGTTCAATTCTTGGTATCCCCCCCTTCAAAAAAAGAAAATAATCACATCAAAGACAATGCCTCAACCAAACTTTTTAACGTCTTTTGCTCCAGTAGTCTACTACTGAGATCATATCATCTCATGTTAAAGACTAACTTCTCAGAATTATCTATTTTTCTAGGACTATTTTTTTTCTGTGACCCTTATTTTCAGACCATGGAGCACAGAAATCCTATATAGCTCTAACTCTTTCTTGGGTCCCATATCTAGCAAAAGTAGTAAATTTTGTTTAGCCTTCCATTCCTCTTTTCTAGTCCTACCCTGATTTTTCCTATTACCTACTTGCTTACCATCAGAGTTTTCTTTTTCTTCTTCCTATTTTTTCCCCTGAACTTAGGATTGAACCCAGGGGCACTCTAACACTGACCTATAGCCCTAGCCCTTTTTTTTTTTTTTTTTTTTGAGATAGGGTCTACATTAGGTTGCACAGGCTGGCTCGGAACTTGTGATCCTCCTGACTCAGCTTTCTAAGTAGCTGGGAGTGCAGGCGTGTACCACCACACCTGGCATCATGAGAGTTTTCTAAAGACCTTCTCTAACTTCAAACTTTACAAATTCCTCTTCCTTTCCTCTATCTTCACATTTCCAAAATGGTGGCTGATAAAGTTTAGATATGGTTTGAGTGTATCTGCCAAGGGTTCATGTATTGATATCTAGTCCCAACTGTGAGGCGTTAATTGGGTAGAAAATGAACTCAACTATGGTGTCTGGAGGTAGGGCCTCTAGGAGGTGATTTCAATTAGATAAGGTCCTGCAGCATCTTGGGACTCTGCAGCAAGAAGGCCATCACCAGGTATGGACCCTCAACCTTGGATCTCCAGAATGTGAACCAAAATAGACCTTTTTATAATTCACCTGAATTTGCTGAATTGTGTTATTGGCCTGATACAATGGCCCCACTACCAAAAAGACTAGAAAGTTCTATTCATGTCAATGCCCTATTTATAAAATGGGGGTAGAAAAATTTCAAATGCCTTCTGCTTCATACCATATAGAATAAAACCAAAGTCTGAAATACAAGCCATCTATAATCTTTTATCAATCTGTTTCTAATTTCAAAATAAGCTCCATTAAGTTCAGTGATCTTGGGGCTGGGGTTGCAGTGCAGTGATAGAGCACCTGCCTAGCATGTGTGAGGTACAATGTGTGAGGTACATGTGTGGGTTCAATTCTCAGCACTGCATATAAATAAAATAAAGGTTCATTGACAACTAAAAAAAGGGGAGGGGGTCAGTGATTGTGCTCATAGTTTGCTCTTCTTAAAGAGCCTTGAATATTGTATTGAATTGTATTATACTGAATTTTTTAGAAAAATATTTTATTAGATCTTATTAAGTAAGAAAAAAAAAATCAGCTGGGTATAGTTGTGTATGGCTATAGGCCCAGCTCACCTACTCAGGAAGCAGTGGCAAGAGGGTCACCTGAGCCCAGGAAGTTAAGGCCAGTCTGGGCAAATAGTGAACCTCACCCCTTTAAAAAAAAAAAAAAAATCAATAAGGAAGTCCATCAGTTTAATACACTAAATTCTAGTAGAAATGCTCTTAAATTCATTGGACAAGGAGAAAAAATAGGCTCTGATCTGAAAATCAGAATCTTAAATCAGGTAGAAATGATCTAAGTATGGTCAAAAGTCAAACCTTATTTTGTTACATAGAACAAAGTAAATCTATTTTGGACAGTTGATAATGTGTGGTTTCTAGGACTTCTAAAGAGGTGCCACAATTTCCCTTGGTAACTTTATCTAACAAAGATAAGGAAGAGTATAATTCAAACAATTAGTGGAAATGGAAACAAACGCCCACTGACATCTGAACAATCTTTTACAGATTTAACTGCCACATAAACTTTTTGTTTACAGTTCTTTGAGTATAGTAATATTAACCATCTTGGTTTTCAATACTAAGAAGTCTTTTCTTATGTCTAACCATCTTCATTAGTCTCTAGCAAGGATTCCTACTCACCTGAATTAAATTTAAGGGCATGAAGAGCCTGAACTATGCAGTGGGAAATGCCTGATGCATAGAAATAAATTCACGACTTGTGAAAGGGGAGCACACAGCTCACTGAACACTCCCCATAAGCTTCATTTATTCCCAGAACAACTTCCTCAAGCTGTTCACTCATCAGAAAGACAAATGTTTCTTTTCTCTTAATTAGGTAGTATGCAGCATTATTATGAATTGTGAGCAGCCAAGGAAAGACTCCAA